AGCAAAGCTGCCCTCCTGGTGGAGGGTAACTCTGAAGTGCCTTTTTTCCTCCACCTGAACCAATCCTCATGTAACCCCTCTTATCTCTATTAAGGTAGCGCAACTCAGGGTTGCGAATGACCACAGTCACCAATTCTTGTCATGTGTCTTGCCCATGTATGTCTGATCTCTGAATTGTGAGTACTGAAACTCTAATTTCCCTCTGTGATTAATAAAGTATCTTTGATTTGATTTGAATAGAATTTATTGATCCCACGGTGGGGAAATTCACTTGTTACAGCAGCACCAACAGTTAAGAGAACGTTATGAAGACAAAATAATAACAAAGGTACATGTATATACACATAGGCAGTAGTCTAGAATTATAACCATCAACCACTAAAGCCACAAATAAAAAAGGAAAAAAAAATGGGTTCAAACGAACAAAAAAAATTCAACAAAAAGATGGAATGTTTTCTCCTTTTTTCACCAACTAGCTGCCAACAGTTGCAATTCAGTGAGATACAAGTATTTCTGCTGTGAATAGTGACAAACTTAGCAAAGCGTGAGCCCTTTTCTTATTTCAGCAAAAATAGAACATGCAGATATTCACCAAGCAAATTACAACAACTACAACAGCCTGGTGATGTTTACATTTCAGGTTTCCAAGGCATGCCTGTTTGTTTCTTCTCTTGTAACCAACAGCATCAGTGATGATAATTGCATCCACAATCCCCAAAAATACCACTCTAAAACCGTAGCTATTTGTTGGTTAAATCTTCCTTTTTGACGTGTATTTTATTCTTCCTTTATTTTCTCTCTGTTTTCTATAACCACCATGAAAAGGGCTGCAGGCTACAGAATCTGTAAGGTTAGAATCAAAGACATAACTTGTGAAAAAGTTGTAGCCTTCGGCAAAAAATCTGCTTTTAATTATCGACATTGATTGCATCTTGACATTTACCCACTATCTTCCAATAAAACCTGTAGCTGGTGTTTGGTTCTACATTTTCACTTGTTAGAAATAGACACTGGCAGGAAGGGAACGTCTTGTGTAGATTTCTGTGCAACAGCAGAATAAAGAAGTGCCCTGCTAATCACACGTCATCATGGTAATGATGGTTGATGCCTTTGACATGATTTGTGTTGTATATGTTGATGTTCAAATACTGTTTTTGATATGTTTTTCTGCCTTAGGTTGCATGGTGGTGCAGTTAGTGTCCCTGTTGCCTTGCAGCAAGAAGGCTGCATGTTGTAGCGTCCAGAAATGGTCAGTTTTTCATCTAATCCAATTCAAATCCAATCCAATTTTATTTATAAAGCGCATTCACAAGGCATTACAACCAAACAAGGTGCTGTACACTAAAAATGTTAGTTAATTAAACAGGCGGTATACAAACATGTCGAACACAGATAAAAGATAAAAAGGAAATACAACAAAATTCCCAAAAACTAACAGCTAAAAATCAATAACACACAGGGAGAATAAAAAATTTGAAAAACATTTTTTTAAAAAAAAAGAACCTCAATAGTACGGAAGTTGATTTTGTAAAGTCCATTTTTAAACAATGCAGATGTAAGTGATGCATAATTATGTGGTATAAGCTAGGTTGAAGTAGTGAGTTTTCAGGCGTGATTAAAAAATGCTAGCTGTTGGTGCTAGCCTCACTAGCAGTGGTAATGCGTTCCACAGCTTCGGTGCACAGACAGAGAAAGCCCTCTCTCCACGGATTTTTAAACGGGCATTCGGAACAGCTAGGAGGAGCTTATCTTCAGACCTGAGAGCACGCGGCGGGTTGTAGTAATGGACAAGTTCATCTACAGTTGATCTCTCCAGTATCCGGTCATATGGAGACATAAGTCTCAACTGGAACCTTTAATCTGCAAGAAAGATACTGTTGCCTGACCAAGATCACTACTATCAAGTTTTCTCTTATCTTTTTTTGCTTTGCTTCACAGAACAAGAAGAATGAACTTTCATAAGAATGAACCGTTATAATAACGAATACTGGATGATGCAATGAAATACGTAAATAATCATGTGGTTGAATGAATAATAACAATATTTTGATTGATCTGTGCTTAAATTACTGAAGTTTAAATGAATATTATTATGTTATGATCAGTAAAGTTTGATTTAACAAGTGAATCATCATCTACTGACAGCTCACACACTCAAGACACATGGCGATGACAAGGTTAAAGTAATCTCATGACACGTTGCTTTCTGGTCCACCGATCAGAGCTCCAGTATCTGAGCAAGGTGTGGTTTCAGAGGTTTGTTGGTAGAACCTCCTTAACATGCCAGGTTCTGATTTGTCAGTAAATCATAATATAGGTTAATAAAACTAAAATTGCTTCCCGGAATGAGTCAGTAGAGCCTAACTCTGACTGGCCACTGGAGGAAACTCTTCTCCCATCGCATCTTTTGGCAAGCTGTCAAAACCTGTTGCTCGCTACAGCTGACCGCAAACAGTTCCTTCACAATGAAGCTGACACAGCTCCGACTCCTTAAGAGTCCTTCCATAGACGCAAACAACTACCCGTTGTGACCTGGAGACATCTTGAGACCAGTCTAGTGGTGCTGCGGTTTCTCCTACGGACATCGGTACCTTTGGAGTCCACGGACTTCCTGACATTCCGGATCTACAACGGGGGTCTCCGAAAGGTTAAGCGGACACGACAGATTGTGTCTGATGTGGTTTTATAAACCATCACTTATAGTTTATAGCAGACCAAATTCACCCCCACTCAGAACTCCGTTCTTCAGATACGAAGGTTCTGATAACATCACATTCACATCATCACACCTTACATTCCATCCACTTAGATTCATCCATCGCATGAAGTGTTTCCTAGTTGTCATGTTTTTAATTGTTTAGAAAATAAATGTATTACTTTTTATAAACTTGGCTCTGTCTGAATTAATACGAAGTGTGTTATGATCCCTGAATAAACAAAGAATCTTAATTCTTCTGGTTAAACATTCAAAGATCAATAAGGTTGATACTCTATATTTATATAGAATCATCACATCTTATTGATCATAATTAAAACCCAAAATACATCTGTAGTCTAACTCTACAATGTTCAAATCTTGGCTAGTTAGCATGATCTCCCAGTGCATACGTGGGTTTTCTCCGAGAACCCCGTTTCCTACCACTGACCAAACACATGCATGTTGGATTAGTTGGGCAAAAGGAGCTCAGGGATGGGGATCACCCTGTAATCGGTGGGCTGATGGTTTTTGCCCAAGGACAGATGTCTTTTTGTTTTTGGGTAAGACATTTCTCCCACCTTGGCTGCTGGTGGTGGCCGGAGGGTGGCGCCAACGCTCAACCTCAGGGCACATATGGCTATGTCGCTGTTGTGTTAAGCATTGACCACATATTTGTTAAAGGATCAATAAGATGTGATATTTCACATGAATATGAAATATCAATCTGATTGGTCTTTGAATGTTTATTCAGAAGACTGTAGTTTATTTGACTTATTCAGGGAACACACACTTTACTTTAATCCAGACAGAGTCAAGAGTTGTGTATTTAAAAATTATTTTAGTAATATTTTCTTTAAACTAAATGATTGTGCATGACAAAGTATGAATGAAATGATGGAATACAGAGGGCAGATGATGAATGGAATGATGGAATGTGAGACAAATGGTACTGTCCGTTAGAGGGAGTCAATTTTGGAACAACATCCCAGCGAATATCAGAGTTTCCCACTTATAGCACCTTTAAAAAGCACCTCAAACTACATCTTAAAGGCTCCCAGACATGTTTGCATCTTTAGTTGTTCTTATTTTTTGTTTGTCTATTTTAATGGAATGTTTATGTCTGACTGTTTTTAAATGGTATAGTGTTACTTGTATTACTTAGTTATCTTGTTGATGGACTACAGATGCAAATTAGCAACTATGCTACTGTATAATCTGGCCCATTTACGATCGATGCAATGTATTTGATTGTTTATTAATGTGCATTGTCCTGAATAAAGAATTGAATTGAATGCCGGCATTGTACCGGTCTGTCATGGTGAAGAGAGAGCTGAGTCAAAAGGCAAAACTCTCACTTTACTGGTCAATCTACGCTCCTACCCTCACCTATGGTCACAAACTTTTGGGTGGTGACAGAAAGAACGAGATTGCGGATTCAAGCAGCCAAAATAAGTGTCGTGAGCCAAGCCACCAGGCTAACTCTAGATGTTAGGCCTTGGCTCACGATACAATATGGTGGGCGTGACCTCAGACCCCTCCTGACGAACACCCTTACTCTGTGGAGATATTTTACCTTGTGAAACCTAGGCTGTTAATTCTGGTAATATCACCTTTATTTTGCTGTAGGAAAACTTGCTGCATCAGAACACCCTGCATGAGCTCATCACGCTCAGAACAGACCCTCGTCAGCTTTCCCTCTGATCAGGCGAACGCGGACGTAAACAGCGTTTGTGCTGCTATGGTTTTTAAAATATTCAACATTATTTTTATAGGTCATCCAGGGGTCACCATCCCCCCAGGTAGGTCCAAAATTAACCAAAAGAAGTCCCAGGAGAGGGGAGGAGTCAAAGACCCCACCTGACATATACAGTCATACACAAACACAGTCACACACTCCCTCCCTCATGCTCACACATACACATACAACCAAAGACGTACAAAAATGCACGCCGGACACCCATTCATGCTCCCCATACACACCCTATTCACTCTGGTCCCGGTACTGCTGCACATGGGGTACAACCATTACTGGCTCCCAGAGTTCGACCCTTTCTGCTGGGGTGCTGATGAGCAAGCTCCCCCGCCCAACGCTGAGCACAGCAACCCACCACCCCAGAAAGGCCACTTTTTACTAGAAAACTCTGCTATTATGCATTTTAAAACCAAATATCCACAATAAGCTGTTCCAATAGTATTTTTGGGACAGCATTTTATATGAGTTAGAAAAATAATTTAACCTGCAATTTGCTCTTTAAATACAAGCTCGTGATTTCAGAGATGTTACATAGTAATAAGCCATGAATTTGGTTGCATCTTTTTATTCTTAACCCTGGTATCCTATGAGGTAAATGTACAATATACCAATCCTTCAAACAAACAAATAAAGAAAACACAAATCGTTAAACATCAGAAGTAAATAGCTGGTGGCGAAGTAAAGCTGGAATGAATCTGGTGTACAAACACCATTTCAGGAGGTATCTTTCCCAGGTTCATCCCTGCCGTTTACTGCTCCCTCATCACGGACATCCTTTTCCTAGAAAATGGAAGGAGAAATCAGTTCACCATTACAAGACATCCCAAAACATGTTTAACAAGTGCTCCCTTCACAGGCATCTCCTCATTTGTAGCACCTCCTCTCTCTTTTCTCTTCTCCTCAGCTCTGCGTCCACCAAACTGTAGAAGTCTCTTTCAGCTTGATCAGTGAGCTGCTCGGTGTCCTCTTTTCCTTCCTCTCGCCCCACCTCCTCATCTCTGCTCTGTTCAGAACGACTCCGCTCCTTCAAACGGATTTCCCGCTGTCGGGCCTCCAGGATTTTCTCCCGCTTCGTCTCCCTCTCAAACATCTGCAGATTGTTTTTACAATAATGAGTTATTTCCACAAGTATTAGCAAATACGGCATATTCCAAAATCCCTTAACCCTCCCGCATTGTTAATGGGGTCAGATGGACCTCTGGTGGATTTTTATCATTTATTTTAATATTTTTAAGGGGTGCATCACTTCACCCCTTGCAAGGCATACACTTTTAAACCCTGTCTAACCATCACCTGTCCTGGTGGGGTCACCTGATAGGAAAGTGGAGTGCAGCCGCAAACGAAACGTAGCGGGAAAACGGGTAACAAAACTGTTCTGTGTTTAAAAAAAAAACAACTAAATCATGGAATTAGAAATACGACACAGCAAGAACACGCCTAAGATACAGTGAGACAGTTTAGGTCTGACTGAGGGACCAACATTGCGGGGGCATGCAAAGAGCTTGGGATCACCTCCAAACAGTGCAACAACCAGGAAATACAAAGGCTCTTGATTGAAAATGAGTGTACATGTTTAATGCACCTCATGCTTCCCACATGAGAGGGAGTTGGGAACATTGAGATCCAGATTTCAGACAATCCCATAAGCTTAAATAGAAAGAATGGAATACGGAAGCAATGTCAGCCATAGAGCTCCCGATCCTTCCAAACACCAATATTTCCATCATTGAATGCTGCTAATTCTCTGCGTTTCGTAGTTTATTTTTCCTCTGGTAAGTGAATGAAATTACAACATTTTGGCATTGTGAAGCGCTAGCTGACTGCCTTGAACCAAAGTGATTTTCATTTATCCAGTTTTAGTTAATTAATTGTTTTAACCGGCTAACTGCAGCTAGCTTACTGCTAGTGGCCAGTCTTTGTGGGTTTAAATGGGCCTATTTCTGGCTGATTCAGCTATTTTATGGAGCTAGGATTGGGACAATATCACATTTAACTTGTACCAAATGTTGCAACTTGTAACATGTTTTGTAACTGTAACTTTCATTTTGTAGCATGTAATTCACGTTTTGTAGCATGTGATTCATGTTTTGTAGCAAGTGATTCACGTTTTGTAACACATAACAGTCGTTTAGTAAAATGTAACTTTCATTTTGTAGCATGTGATTGACGTTTTGTAGCATGTGATTCACGTTTTGTAGCATGTGATTCACGTTTTGTAGCATGTGATTGACGTTTTGTAGCATGTGATTCACGTTTTGTAGCATGTGATTCACGTTTTGTAGCATGTGATTAATGTTTTGTAACACATAACTGTCATAGCTTCATCAGGCTCTGACCTCCAGCTCTTGCTGGGGAGGTTCGCAGCACAGTGTGAAGCAGCTGAGATGAGAATCAGCACCTCCAAGTCTGAGACAATGGTTCTCCACCGGAAAAGGGTGGCTTGCCAACTCTGGGTCGGGAGAGAAGTCCTGCCTCAAGTGGAGGAGTTCAAGTATCTTGGGGTCTTGTTCACGAGTGAGGGAAGGAGGGAACGGGAGATCGACAGGCGGATTGGGGCTGCATCTGCAGAGATGCGGATGCTGAACCGGTCTGTTGTGGTGAAGAAGGAGCTGAGCCAGAAAGCAAGGCTCTCGATTTACCAGTCGATCTACCGCCCAGTCCTCACCTACGGTCATGAGCTTTGGGTAATGACAGAAAGAACAAGATGGTGGATACAAGTGGCTGAAATGAGTTTTCTCCACGAGGTGGCTGGGCTCAACCTTAGGGATAGGGTGAGGAGCCCGGACATTCAGGAGACTTGGAGTAGAGCTGCTGCTCCTCCACATCGAGAGGAGTCAGTTGAGGTGGTTTGGGCATCTTGTTAGGATGCATCCTGGATGCCTCCCTGGGGAGGTGTTTCAGGCATGTCCTGCCGGCAGGAGGCCACCTGGTTGAGAAACGTTGGAGAAAGTACATCTCCGAACTGGCCCGGGAACACCTTGGGGCCCTGCCAGAGGAGCTGGTGGAGGTGGCTGGGGAGAGGACGGTCTGGAACTCCCTAGTTGGGATGCTGCCCCCGCGACCCGGACCCAGACAAGTGGAGGAAGACGAGACGAGACGAGAAAATTAAACTTAAAAGATCTTTACATCATACAGACTATAAGTGTTGTGTTTAATCTGCATTTAAGTGTAGTTCAAAATATTATTTACAGTTTTACCACTAAGGCATTGTCTTGTAATGCAGTTTCTGTTCCTCTTGGGCCATAGACCTACGCTAGAGACAAAGGGATTGTATTGCCCCCCACTTCCAGCTCTAAATACTTGTGCAGTGGTGTACCTCAGCAGAAAGCTGTCTGAATGGGAGTCGAGGTACAGCACCATTGAGTGTCACCCCATCAGGTGGACGGTTGTCACCCTTCGTTTCTATCTCCTAGGACTGCCATTCACTCTCTGCTCGGCTCCAACACCACCGCGGTGGCTCCACCACTTGAAGGATACCAACGCCTGGATCACCTGTTGGTATCTCCCCCTTCAATACTCAGGTGATCTAGCCTAGTGAAATTCTTGCTTTGCAAAGTTTGGTCTAGGAACGCTCCATTGGTGCCTCTGCAGCCCCTAGCAGCATTCTGGCTGGCTAATCACAGCTCTCTATAGGGGTTTCAAACACTTAGAGAGCTGTGATTGGTCCATAATAGTGGGCCAATCACAGCGCTTTACCCACTTTGTGGGCCAGTCAGGGCCCTCTATTCATCTGGTGGGGGGGATGATGCAACAGAGTAGAACAAGATGGTGACAGCTCTTTTGAAACAGCTTTTACATCAATTTTGGACTATTTGGACTTGGGCTTTATTAGAATCAGAAGCAGATAAGATGGATTTAAGTTCTTTTTTTTAGAAAAAAAGATGTAGTTCTGCCTTATTCAAACAGCGGACCACCTCGTTTACCGACATCTGTTGAGGTGAGTACATCACGTTGTTCATTGTCCAGTAGCATGCAGCGATCGTTTGAAAGACAACGGTAGAACCCGCCCCACGACCGAGAGCCGTCAATGGAGCGTTGTCTGGCTTGCCAGGCTACAAGAGATCCACAAGCTGAGGGCAATGGTGGCGGTGACTGACTACCTCCCCCACTTCATTGGGGGGGTTGGTTGGTCCGACAGTTGCTCTGCCCTGAGTTGGGTGGTGGGGTATGTAGGGTTTGGAAGGGTTATCCACTGGGAGGAGCGTGGATACGGGGGACGATTCAAATGGCCGGAACAGCGGGAGCAGCACAGAGAGTGCGGAGACACAGATGTAAACACTTGTCACAAATGTAGAGATAAAGTAGGAGAACACAAAGGACTAGAGGGAGGTCTGGACCTAAGCCAAAAGAGGAAGTAAAGCTTTTTCATTGAACTCCAACCATGTGTGTGCTGTCTGTGTGTGATCTTGAGTAGCTGGAGCTGCTACAAACACATATAATTAAATATAAAGCTAACCGGCTGTCTTTAAAGGGAAACTATCCCGTTGAGGATTGTTTATAGCAACCCCTAGAGTCCGGTATTAATTTACTGTTGTAAAACCGGAAGTGTAACTCATTTCCTCACTGTGCGTTTGTCATTTATCTGCTGAAATGTCTCGAAGCCTTCATTAGTGTCTACAGGAGCGATTCATCACTAAACCAAATAAACCAGCTGAGTTCCTGATCTAAAACATGCCGGAAATGTGCTGGAAGCAGACTGAACATGTCATCTCCACTTTACTAAGACTGGCCCACCACTCTGAAGTTGCAAGTGTGGTATTCTGGGGGCGGTGGGGTCTGCGTGGAATATCATTAACCCTGTAAAGGGTCATTTTAGCACATACTGGCACAAGAAAATGATTTAGAAATATGAACAATTTGGATGCTTTTGATGCTGAAACAACTCAAATCAGAGGGTTTTCCTTACAGCAGCTACTAGACTCTTCTCGTTCTTCTGCAGAGCTGACAGTCCAGAGCAGATCTCCAGCAGTGTGGCCTCACCTTGCTGAGAGCCACATGCAATTAGACGGCCATTGTCCTGAACACGAAGGCTGTACAGAGCTGTGTCACACACCTAAGGACAATAACCACGAGTCAGAAGATGGATGGCATTACTTTTGATTTTCGTGGTGAAATTGGAGCACCTTCAGACTGAGTGTGGGCTCTCCCTGTTTGAAAAAGATGTCCCAGATGTCCAGCACACCTTCAAACGCCACAGTGAAGAAGACAGCAGGTCTGACTGGGCTCCAGCAGGCGTCCATCAGGTGTGACATCTGGTAACTTGGATAAAAAACTAGACTCAGATGTGACAGTACCAGAACTGAGTGAGACGAGAAGGTTTTGGAATGAAGAGAGGGAGATGAGATGAGGAGAAGAGACAGAGCAGACCTACCATATTCATTTAAAGACATCAAATTGAACCAAACTGAATGATACTGACTGTACCTCCAGCTTGGACACAAGTTTATGAGGTGATTACATGGGGGTTTATAACTTCTACAGAGGAAGCAGGTCTACATCCTACTTTGTCCACATAATGGAGGATTCCCTGATGTCTTCAGACCAAATGCGAGCCGTCCAGTCACCAACAGTGAGAAAGTTTTTGGGGAAGAATGGATTTCTCTGCAGTGCGTAGATGGGTCCGTGGTGGCCATCATACGTACAGACGATCTTCTCAGCTGGAGTTTTTGCCTTCCTGTTGCAGGATACAACCAGGCCCTTCTCAGTCCCGACCATGAACTTCGTGGGCTGAAGGAACACACAGAAACAGTGAAGACAAGAGGACTAGGGACAAAACAACAGACACAGAGCCCCTGCATGGAAGCATGAAAAGTGGAAATACTGAGCCATTTTTGTCTTAAGGGTTTCAGTGATGGACAGCGGATGGAAGCCTATTTCACATCAAATGCAGAACAGATGCAGTTGGGGGTCTGTACAGCTTCGTCACACTAAAGCTGGGCGGACACTGTGTGGCTTTTTCACTCATAGCGTGCAGCTTCAGCTTAAACGGTACAACTTCCCCGCAGAGCAAATCTCAGGAGTCGTGTGTGCTCCCTCTTTCTCAAACCCGTCAATAGGTGTGCTGCTGCATTTTGCACCATTTGAAGATGGGAAAGGTGAGACTGAGGGAGACCAAGGTACAGTGAGTTGCAATAGTCAAGGCGTGATGTAATAAACGCGTGATTCACTGTCTCAAAGTCATGGATTGAGAGCAGATGCTTAACCTTGGCGATCCTCCTTAACTGATAAAAGCTAGCTTTGGTTACGACACTGATTTGCTTTTCCAGAAGCAAATCAGTGTCAAGCCAGACTCCCAGACTGGTCGCTACAGGTTTCAAAAATAGGTCTAAATAGTGAAAAAGTCGTACAGAGTACGCCTAGCTGTGCTGACTGTCCCCAGATTTCTGCTGCCACAATAGCACCAAATGAATAGAAATTTGACTTACTAAATCTCAAAATATGCCTGTGAAAATAACATGAACTAATTGCAAAAGCCTTTGGGCCAGACTGCTAACCTGGCAGACGTGGGAGAGTCTCACGCAGGACAATTTTGAAGCACATAGGACAATATCCTCACAGGCTTCAGATTTGTAGCTGTTTAACAGTATTGTAGTGACTTCGGACCTTTATATATTATACATATTTTATTGTTACAATGATCTGTTGAAATAATTTAAATAAAGAACCATCAGTGTGGTTATCTGAAATTTTCAGAAAATGAGGATTAGACAGTTCCTGTGCCCAGAAAATAAATGTACAGAGTTGATCAAGAGATTATTAGAGATCATCTTATAATAAATGGTAAATGGACTGTATTTGATATAGCGTCTTCTAGAGTCCTGGAACCCCCCAAGACGCTTTACAACAAAATCAATCATTCACCCATTCACACACACATTCACACACACATTCACACACTGGTGAGGATGAGCTACGATGTAGCCACAGCTGCCCTGGGGCGCACTGACAGAGGCGAGGCTGCCGAGCACTGGCGCCACTGGTCCCTCCGACCACCACCAGCAGGCAACGTAGGTTGTCTTGCCCAAGGACACAACGACAGCGACAGACTGAGCGGGGCTCGAACCTGCAACCTTCCGATTACGGGGCGAGCACTTAACTCCTGTGCCACCGTCGCCCCATAATTATTAATTATTATGAAACACCAGAATACATATGATAACAAATGCTGTAATGGTTCATAAGGGTTATTGTCAGGGATGTAGTCTTACCCCTACTGCACACTCGAAGCATCAGCGAAACGGCACCGCTTCAAATAGAATCCATTACAGTCTATGGAGTGTAACAAAGAAGAAGAAGAAAAGATCTTTTCTATAGCGCCTCTCGAGATAAAAATCACGAGGCGCTTCACAAAAACAAAAAATATAAAAGAATTTAGAAAATGGTTAAAAATAGATTTTGAATGAGCAAAAAATAGACAGTTGTTATTACAAACTTTAAAGAAAGAGAGAGAGAGTGAATAGGAAAGAGGGAAATCAGTGGATCCTGAGGAAGGTGGAATAGGTGGGGAGAGCAGAATAAAGAGAGAGTGGTGAAGAAGGTCATACAAAAGTCAGCTTGAACAAGTGAGTCTTCAGCTGCTTTTTAAAGGAGACCACTGAGTCCACTGATCTCAGGCTCAGGGGGAGAGAGGTCCAGAGTCTGGGGGCCACAGCAGCAAATGATCTGTCACCTTTGACCTTTAGCCTGGTGCTGCACAACCAGTAGGCTTTGATCACTGGACCTCAGGGACCTGCTGGGGGTGTAGGGACTAAGAAGATCACCAATGTAAGATGGTGCTTGTCCATGTAAGGCCCTATAGACCAGAACCAGGATCTTGAAATGAACCCTGAAGTTGACTGGCAGCCAGTGAAGCTGGAGGAGAAGCGGGGTGATGTGGGTGTGTTTGGAGGACTTGGTCAGAAGCCGAGCACAGGCGTTCTGAACCACCTGTAGACGGTTCAGGGAGGTTCTGCTCAGACACGTGAAAAGAGAGTTACAGTAGTCTAAGCGTGAGGAGATGAAGGTGTGGAGAATTGTCTCAAGTTCAGAGTGGGACTCAGCTTAGCAATGTTCCTGAGACAGAAGAAGGAAGAGCGAACAAGAGAACTGACATGAGAATCCAGGGTGAGAGCTGGGTCAAAGGTCACACTAAGATTCCTGACGAAAGGTTTGGTGTGAGTGGCAAGCTGACCAAGAGAGTCTCTGATTTTGGGAACCAGCTTGTCTGGGGCACAGATGAGGATCTTAGTCTTATCTTCATTCAGCTGTAGAAAGCTCCCAGCCATCCAGGTTCTGATAGAGTCTAAGCAGGTGTGTAACAGCTGCAGATTAGACATTCCATGGGGCTTAAAGGAGATGTACAGTTGGATGTCATCTGCGTAAAGATGGTAGGAGATTCCTTTGAAGGAGCTCAGGATGTGCTGAAGAGGAAGCAGATAGAGGAGGAAGAGCAGAGCCCCCAGCACAGAACCTTGTGGGACACCATGGGTAAGGGAGGTGGTGGAGGACCTAAACTTGGAGATGGCCACAGAAAAGGAGTGCTCAGAGAGATAAGAGGAGAACCACTCCAGAGCAGATCCTGATAGGCCTACCCAGTCTCTCAGCCTCTCCAGGAGCAGGTGATGGTCAACAGTGTCAAAGGCTGCAGTCAGGTCCAACAGGACCAGAATAGAACAGTCACCTGCATCAGAAGGTCTTTAGAGACCCTAAGAAGAGCCGTTTCAGTAGATTGAGCTCTACGAAAAACTGACTGGAAGCTATCATAGATGTTATGTTGATCAAGAGCAGCTGTGAGTTGTTTAGCCACAACCTTTTCCAAGATCTTGGAGATGAACGGAAGTTTAGAGATGGGTCTGAAGCTGCTATGGAGACAGGCGTTTTTTAAGAAGTGGGTGGATTGCAGCGTTCTTAAAGTAAGCAGGGACCTGACCAGTGACCAGAGAAGCATTAATTATAGAGAGCACGCTGGGACCGATGGACTGAAAAGCACTTTTAAACAAAGATGAGGGTAAGATGTGGAGGGGGCATGCAGAGGTCTTCATAGAGTTAACTAGTTTGGTTAACTCAGGCAAAGAAACAGGAGCAAAGCTATCTAGGATGATGGGCCTGGTTGGAGTCGGGAGAGGCAGCGATAAGGCTGAAGGAGAGATGCTAGATCTGACCTTATTGACTTTGTCCACAAAGAAAGACAGAAAGTTCTCACAATCTGCAACAGAGTGGATGGAGGCTGTAGGAGTGGCAGGAGACACGATGCTGCTGATGGTGTTAAACAGCGCCTTGGGGTTCCCTTTGCTCTGGGATACCAGGTTGGAAAAATAGGAAACCCTAGCGTCTCTGACTGCAGAGTTAAAGGATGTGAGAAGGTCCTTTTGATGCAGCAGATGGATGTGGAGATAGTGTAGCTGCCATTGAGACAGCTGTGAAATATTTTGTTTATTATTAATAAATTCAGTTAAAAATAGCAACAAATAGATTAGTAATTCTTACTATAGTGTTCAATAAATAGACAATACTTCAGTAAATACATCTTGATTTTATTTGGTTAAACATTAAAATGTAAGGGGAACCTATTTTTTGTTCCATGTGCTGCACTGTTTCTTACGGGTAAGGTTAATTGGCACACTTAGAGCCACACACGCCTGGCATGTCTGCAAGAGACTGAACTTTCCACAAGAAGAAGCTGAAGAAGAATATTATTATTCCTCTAGAAGTAATGCGGCCAATGAGGTACTATTTTACTGTTTATTTCATGTGTGTTTCATGTAAACTGGTTATATTTCGTGTCAGCTAATTAAAGATTGCTTTTCTTTTCTTAGTTCTGACGGCATTTATTGGCATTCATGGATACTGTAAGACGTGTTGTCCACAATAAATGGCTGTTGAAACCCAAGAACGCTTTTGAGCCTTGAATGAACTTGAGAGGAGTAACAGATGGGTTTTCTTCCACAAGCGCTCAATTTTTCTGCATTGGCGCTTCACGCTGTGAAGGATGTCATTAAACCAGGGAGTAGGGTTCACTGCAGGAACTGATCTGGTTCTGACAGGACAGATGTTGTCCAGAATGGAGAGGCAGTGCTCGTTAAACTGAGAAGTTAAGGAATCTGGGTCGTTATCAGAAGAACAGGGTGGATCAAAAGCAGCAGAAAAATTTCTAGCTGTGCTCTCATTAAGAAAACGGGAACTAACCTATCGGTGAAAAGGAGGTGGGGACGCAGAAACTGACAAGGTAAAGAAAATGCAATGGTGATCTGAAATATAAGCGTCCTCAGGACAAACACTGTCAGCATTTAGATTCAGGGTAAAAACGAGGTCTAGAGTGTGCCTTCTGGTGTGCGTGGGGCCAGAAACATGCTGGGTAAAGCTGAAGGAGTCCATAAGGCTGGAGAAATTCATGGCAAAGTGATCAGAGGGATCATCAATGTGGATGTTAAAGTCACCAACAATCACCAGTCTGGACAGCAAACCAACCACGACGCGGACATTTTCAGAAGTGTCCCAGAAGAAGTCCTACAGATAGGATTGAGTTCTACTTTTGCTGTGTGCCACTTCTGGGATGCATCAATTTCTGCACATCTTACGTCTTGAACATCCCTGACCGTCGCAGGAAAAACCGTGTCTGTAATGTTAACATGTTGAAAGGATATCTGTCTCCTCAGGCTCATACACAACCACCCGGTGAGGCCGCGGTGTGCGCAGCCGCTGCTGTCACCCCGGTTCCAGATGAGGTTGTCCAACCCCGGTCAGCCACTAACATGGGTCCCCGGCTGCAAAACTCGCAGATCCTGTTACGCCTGGATGACAGCTTAGCTCATCTATCAGAGGGCCAGAGACGCGAGTTAACAACGCTCATCCACAAACACTCGTGTTTATTTAAAGATGTCCCTTCTCGAGCCACGCTCGTGCAGCATGACGTGAAAGTTGCAGATACAAAACCAATCAAGCAACATCCTTATAGGACAGTGTTCAGAAGGCTGAGATCCCCTGGATAGTGGGAAGAGATTATTTCCTCTTTAGGGAATAATCTGTTTGTTATTTTAGTAGTGTTGTGGCACATGGGTTAGTGTTGGTGCACCGCACCTTCTCGGGAGCACTCCAGAAAGAGATTCCTCTCTTTGCTGGTTATGTTTTTTTGTGTCTTTTGCACCGTGCTTAATCTGCCCACCCAAATCCAAATGAAGAGCCAGGCTTATTTTTAGCTAGTTTTTGGTTAGGTAGATAGCGGGGACTCAGTCTCTATATGGGTGTTTGATGCTTCCGTTGAGAAAAAAAAAAGCAAATTAGACACAAGAAGAGAAAAAAAATGGTGTTGTTGTTCTGTTTTCACTCCCCATTTTATTTTTTTTTTAGGTATGGGGGTGCTACGATCTTTGAGATCCCCAGCGCCCGGCTTCCACTCCGCTCAGTTTCAGCACCACGGAGAGCGCCCGGCCTCACTCACGCAGCTGATTCCCATCAGTAATCTCCCGGCTGGAGCGGATAAAATCAACGCTGCACCGGAGAGACGAGAGAGAGGGAGAGAGAGACGGATTGAGACACAGAGAGATTGAGACACAGAGAGGACGGAGAAGGACGGATTGAGGGGACTGGAGAGGAGAGGATTAAAGAGAGAGACTTGTGTTTGAGAAATTTTGGGACCTCATAGTTGCCCCCGGATGGTTAATTTCCACCTGCTTGGGAAAACCTTCAGGTCGATATTCGTTTTCCTCTTGCTCTTAACAGAGCTGTCGGTTGTGTGGGTGAGTTAGTTCACCAGTGGACTTTTTGGTAAGGCCTCCGGGCAAGCTTCTATTGTTCCTGGTTTCATTTTTGGAACCAGTGAGTTTTAGTTCTCATTTTATTGCACTTTAAGTTACTTAAGTCCTCATCTTTTGTTCTCTGCAGCATAAGTTAAACTCCCCTTCGTGTATTAACCAGGTCTTCTCCCTTAGGGACGCTTTTTGTTAATAAAACTTCTTCTTTGGTTGTGACTTGGTGTCAGATCCTTTTCTTTTTATTCTCACGTTTCTGTGTTAGACCTCCCTGGATCCTAGACCAGGTTGGGGTCGTAACAGTCGGACGATATTAAAACACATCAGTAATGTCCGAATGTCTGACGTGTTTTTGCAAACACTGATACCGGATGCACCTGGCTTGAAACACGTCTCACTTCCCGTCTAGCTCATGTCCTTTCTTTAACTTCATGATAATCCACACGTGGCATCGGAACAAAATAGACTCCATGCGAAAACGTAGAGCTGCGAATCTGGATCCACACACTATTGCAGTCGGTGAGAATGCTCTGATTGGATTTTTGAGGAAGCAGTGCAGAAACAGGACAGCTTCTGGTCCATGTTTTGTCTGAAAGAGGCTTAAGTCTGCTTTTTTTTTAGTATTCATGCAGTTACAGTTACAGTTTTGATTTTAGACTAAAATGATAGATGAACACGCACCATTGTGGCCTCAAACTCCAAAGAGACGGCACCTAAAGCTCTGTCCAGCTTTTCCTCTCGCCCTTGATCCAGAATGAACCGCTCTGTGGGCTCACTCAGCTTGCGTATGTCCCACCATAAAACCTAACAGCAACAGAGAAATATTTGCTGTAAATGCTCATTTTTAACAAAGTTGTCACCAATCATCCACCATCCTCCTTCCTGCTTTTCACCTGTCCATCCGTGGAGGCAGAGAAGGCATCCGTCCCTGTTTTGGACTGCACCCAGATGATCTTATAGACTGGATCTCTGTGACTGTGCTCCATAGAAGAGTATTCCACTGGCTGGCTGCCTCTGCGGGTGTCCCAGTAAGCTATAACAAACGTATCAGCAGGTGAGTCCACCTTTACCCAAATCCATTCATCTGTTACTGAGCCTGGAGCAGAACCCACCGATCTGTCCATTGTAGCTGCCTCCCAAGAGAATGTGGGAGTCCTTTGGGTTGTAGTCCACACAGACAAGAGGAGACACTGGTTTCAAAGTCATCTCCGGACGTATTGGATTATCTGAAGAATAAAACACCCACTAGAGCGTAGAACTCATAGCTAGTTAAATCAAATTTCCAGCAGGACTCACCAATATCCCAGATGTAGGAGTCCAGGCTCATGTCCTTGGAGATTTTCTGGAACTTCAGGCAGGAGAAGGCTGCAGCCAGCTTCCTCCCTCCATCAGGATGCCACGACAGGCCAGTGATGGCACGTTTCAGCTCATTAGGATCTCTGTAACAAACAAAAACCAGCCAACCAGTCATCAAACCAGAAACCCTGACTGGATGGTGTGATGCTGTGTTCACAAACAGGGATGTTCATATATATATATATATGGATAATCTTTTAGGTAACTCTGTAACTGCCTCACCCGGTTTGAAACCCTCTTCTGAGGTGACCCCCTCGTCTCAGTCCGCTCATGTCCCCCTTGTCCAGTCTCTGCAACCCCTTTCCCTTCCATGTCTGCTCCCCCTTCTGTCATCCCACTCCTCCACGTCTAACCCTGGCCCAGCACTTGCACCTGCAAACCCCAAGTCACCAGTCTCTGTCGGCCCTGTTTCACTCTCTTCTGAACCACCATGTTTCGTGTGAATCTGGTCCACATGTCTCCTAACATTTCGGCCGTCCCCCAGCCTTACAGTATATGAAACTGGCCCTGTTACTGATTCAATGACCCCAGCCACCCACTTAAGCCCAAACCCAAAATTTCTAATCCAGACTGGGTCCCCCATGGTAAACCAGCTTCCCTTTGCTCTTTTATCGTGCGCCTGAGCCTGTCTTTCTTGCTGATGTCTCACCTTTGTCTCCAGTCCTGGATGCATCACATCTAAAGTACAACGCAGCTTTCGACCTTGAAGTAACTCTGCCGGAGACAACCCTGTGGTTGTTTGTGGAGTCACCCAATAACTAAACAACACCCGGGCTATTTTCTCTTTCAAGGAACCCTCCAGACATTTTCTCATCATTCTTTTAAAGATCTGTACCCCTCTCTCAGCCAACCCGTTACTAGCAGCATGATAAGGTGAAGAGGTGACATGTCTGGTGCCGTTCCTTTGCAGGAACTCTTTGAACTCTGTGCTTACAAAACATGTACCGTTATCTGACACTATCAGTTCAGGCAGTCCATAGTTACTCACACTGGTGCGTAAACATTCTATGGTGCTAGCTGAGGTAGTGCTCTCCACAGGGTAAACATCCATCCATTTTGAATGTGCATCAATCACTACCAAAAACATTTTCCCCATAAAGGGTCCTGCATAGTCCACATGCAAGCAGCTCCAAGGCTTATCTGGTCAGTCCCATGGGTGTAATGGTGCTGGAGCTGGCCCATTTCTCTACTCTTGGCAAACTTTGCAGGCTCTGACCGCCTCCTCAATTTCTTTGTCCAACTTGGGACACCACACATAGCTCCTGGCCAGCGCTTTCATCCTGGACACCCCGGGGTGACACTGATGAAGTTGTTTCAGCACCTCCTTTGTACCTGTTTGGGGCACGACCAACCTGGCACCCCAGAACACGCATTCCTCCTGTATAGTGAGCTCATTTTTTCTGACCACATAAGGTCCATTACTCCCCTTATCCTCAGCTGTCCAGCCATTCTGAATCCAACGCCTCACCTGGGAAGGCACGCAGTCCTCCTCTGTCCATGCCATCACTTGTGCAGTTGTCACCAGCGTGATGTCCGAGCTTCCCAGCAGGAGGACCCTCTCTTCTGCCTTTCCTTCCTCCGGCGCTTCTGGTACTGGTGGTCGACTGAGAGCTTCTGCGTTTCCATGATGTTTCCCCTCCTTATATACAATTGTATATTCATAAGCTCTCAGTGTCACCGCCCACCTTTGGATTCTGGGGGATGCCATGCGAGGTACCACTCTCAGCTCGCTGAACAAAGCTAGCAAAGGTTTATGATCCATTATAATTGTGAATCTCCTTCCATAAACATATTTATAGAACCGTTGAATGCCGAACCTAACTTCCAGCCCCTCCTTGTCCAGCTGGGAGTAGTTTTTCTCTGCCCCGTTCAACGTCCATGATGTGAAGCCTATGGGCCGTTCTGTTCCATCCGGCAATCGGTGCGACAAAACTGCCCCAACCCCATATGGTGAGGCATCACAGGACAAGATAACGTCCTTTTCCGGATCATAATGGACCAGTACCTCAGCTGACTGCATCATGTTTCTGGTCTTGTCAAATGCTGCTTGCTGCTCGTCTCCCCACTTCCATTTACAGTCCTTCTGTAGCAGCTTGTGTACTGGAGCCAACGCAGTTGATAGGCTGGGCAAAAACTTGTTGTAATAGTTTAAAAGTCCCAAGTAAGCCTTGAGTTCTGTCACAGTTTTTGGTGTGGGTGCCTCTTGAATCACCTGCACCTTTTCCCACACTGGATGTATCCCTGTTTCATCTACTTTATGTCCCAAAAAGGTCACTTCCTTCATCATGAAAGAGCACTTTGACCTTTTCAGCCTGAGAACAGCCTCCTTTAGCCGCTCCAACACCGTTGCCAGGGTGTGAAGGTGTTCCTTGTCGTTTTCTCCGGTCAGCAAAATGCCGTCCAAGTAGATCGCTACATGAGGGATGCCCTGTAGTAACCCTTCCATGGTGTGTTGACATATTGCTGGGCTTGATGACACTCCGAATGGTAGTACTTTGTAGTTGAGCAACCCTTTGTGGGTATTCACAGTCACATATTTCTTGGCCTCAGCATCCTGGGGAATTTGGTGGTACGCATGACTCAGATCGAGTTTGGTGAATTTCTTTCCCCCTTGACAAACTGGCACACATATCTTCCTGCCGGGGTATGGCATATTGTTCCAGCCTCGACACCTTGTTCACTGTCAGTGTATAATCTCCGCACAATCACACTGTTTGATGTGGTTTTAAAAAGGGCACCACTGGAGCTGCCCATTCTGCGTACTTTACTAGTTCAATAATCTCTTGATTATGGATCCAGTACTGCCTCTACTCTGCTTCTCATTGCATAGAGCACCTGTCTGGCTTTGTAAAATTTGGGAGCAGCCTCTTTATCTATATAAATCTTGGCTGGAGGTCCCTTGAATTGCCCTAACTCATCTTTGAAAACCTCGCCATGTTCTCTGAGTACCGTTTCTAAGGCTGCCTCTGTAACGTGATTTATTCTGGGGTCCTCTTCCCACTGCAAGCCTAAAAACTTAATCCAGTTGCGGCCCACCAAACTGGGACCAGCCCCAGCCACCACTACTGCGGGTGGGCAGGGGCAGCACAAAATTAGCTGGAGGAGGCTGCCACGCAAATTTGAATGCAGGAAAAACCCTGATTATTGGATTAATTTCTAATAATACTGTTTCATTTTGAATGGTTTTATTATATTTTTTATTTGTATACTTTTGATCTTTTTAATGTGTTTCATTTTTGGGTGTGCTTTTTGTGGTGTTGTCATGTACAGCACTTTGGGTGGCGTAGGCAACCGTAAAAGTGCTATATAAATAAAACTGACCTTGATTTTAGCAGGACCTCATTAAATGGAGAACAAAAATGACTAGAAACATGCAAATACATTTGCTTTGAAAAAATGTGCACATATTGTTGCACTTGCATGATTTACTAGAGTTGTTAAATAAATAAATGCACAGCAATCTGGATGCAAGCGCTTTCTGTGTTTGTTGGAGGAGGTTGAGCCTGCCTAGGATGTCAAATGGTCCACAACTGGCCCTGGGGTTGGGTGTCACCCAGCAAACGCTGAGGAGAAATGTCAGACACGGATAAAAGTCTCAGTGCTGAGCAGCACCTCAGGAAGTAGAGCGAGTTGTCCAGTAATTGGAAGGTTGCAGGTTTGATCCTGGTCCCCAACAGAGAATGCTGCTGTTGTGTCCTTGGGCAAGAAACTTAACCCGCCACCGGTCCCTCTGAACACCACCTGCCTGCTGGTGGTGGTTGGGTGCTTGGCAGCCTTGCCTCTGTCAGTGTGCCACAGGACAGCTGTGGCTACAGTGTAGCTCATCAGCGTGTGAATGTGTGTGTGAATGGATGAATGATACTCAAGTGTAAAGCGCTTTGGAGTCCTCTGACTCTGTAAGGCACTACACAAGTCAGTTATCATTATAATAGACAGTTCACCTCCACAGCTGCTGGTTGATCTAAAGGTTGGTTTATGCTTGACGCGTCCGCGAGGTCCGCACAGCTCCGTGCGGAAAAGTTGCGTCATTTTGCGTCATTTTAACAACCACGCCCCTCCACCGCGCCTCAGCACGGCCCAGAATTTCCGCAACACGCACCTCGGAAAATTTCTAACCACGCAGACGGACGGACGCGGAAAAACATGGCGGACCGGCAAGAACTAGTACGGCAGAGGTTCGTAAATTCAGACATTTGTATGATTCAGCTCTCAGAGATCACCGTGATCAACATGTTGTTAATATTTCTTGGAGAGAAATATCTCGCACTGTCGGAAAAGACGAGAACGCTGTTAAAAATGCTGGAATGCCATGTTGTAAACAGTAATTTCTACTTCTACTATGGTGTAGTGTTGGATGTTTGCCGTAGAGCTCCATGCTGCCCCCTACAGTTTGGGAGAATATTGGCTCACCGCAGAGACGAGCCGCATGAACCATAAACACTGCGAGTTGTGAAGCGCGTTCCATCCGCGAGCCACATCACCAAGCGGAAAGTGAATGCGTCAAGCATAAACAAAGCTTAACAGGTGGAATTCACAGTCGGAGACTTCATTGAATCTTAGCGTTAGCAGTGATGTCTCACAAAACAACTGTGTGTTATTTAATAACAACACAATCATGTCAGTGGTAATATTTTATCATTGTTGCTCTGGAAGGTGTAAAACAGCACGAGGCAGCCCCTTTAAAAGTATTCCGTCTATCTACTTTATTTTCATTCTACCTTATAAAAGCTATGCTAAGATCTGAGAGACAACGTTTCCTTTCAAACAAAAACATATCTGTCTGCATGCGGATCAGATGGGTGTCGCTCTACCTGAACACACTGATGGTCCTGGCAGATGGCACCTCCTGATTTTCCTCCTCCTCGTCTTCATCAGCAACCTGCTGGTAGATGTCTATGGAGTTGTTCTGCTTGACACAGGCCTCCATCACCTAAACACCATGATGACACTAAATGATTCAGGTTGTCATCACAAACACAGCATTCATGAACAGTTTTTCACGGAAGCATGAGGAATCAGCATCGTAAACCTTCCATTTAAAGCTCAAGCCCAGACTAGGTGATGTGGACTGAAGTCAAGTGAATCAACGTAGATCTTACACTTCCCAGCTGCAGAACACTGTTGATGAACCCTTCATCCCTTAAGATGTTCTTCCTGATGCGCATGGTCTGCTCCATCTCACTGGGGTTGATATCTTTTGGCCATCCTCCTTCCAGGTGGTTTATTCCACGACTGTTGGTCTCAAAGCTCCGTGTGTTTACCTGTGATAAGCATGCATTCTTTATTATTTTACATAAAAATAATAATGTATTGCCATACAATTATTAAAAAATAATAACTGACTTTTAGACACTAGTTTGGTGTCCATTTTAATGAAGAACATAATGCTAAATAATCTGATATATATGTATATATATAATATATATATATATATATACATATACACACATACATATATTCTATATATATATGTATATATATATTATATATATATATATATATATATATATATACATACACACACAAATAGAGAGAGAAAGCGTGAGAGTATATGTGTGTGTGTGTATATATATATATATATATATATATATATATATATATATATATATATATATATATATATATATACACACACACACACATAAATATACTCTCTCTCTCTCTATGTGTATATATGTGTGTGTGTGTGTGTGTGTGTGTGTCCAGTTCCTGCTTTACATGTGTGTATATATATGTATGTATGTACAACCGGGGCAAAATGAAGAACTGGGACGTAGTCATGGGTCAAACTATATGTATTGAAAACATAACGGCATGTACATCTACAGTTATGTATTGTTGAACCTTTCATTTGAATAAAAATCATCATTTTTGCACAAACACTGAATCTGGAATAACTTAATTACACACGAGCAAGTAAAATAAAACACAAGTCCCTGGTATTTGTTACTTAGTCTGTCCTAATGTCCATGTTTTAATCCTTAAACGGTGTAGCCATATTATTGTGTTTTCTGCTATTTTTCTGCTCAGAAGCATGAATGTTAACGGCTGATATCACATTTTCATTGTGTTGTCCTGTGAAAAGGATTTAAGCCGCAGTAAAGCAGGAACTGGACAGACTACAGAATAAAAGAGAACAGCTCGTTATTTTTCCCTCAGAGGGGAACGTTGATACCCCCCGGAAGGAAACCCGGACACACGCCCCGGTCACCGGGGGAACAGGGACGAGGGGTCTCCCTGCTTACCTCGTGCTCAGACATCTCCTGGCAGGACTGCACGGCCTGGTCTTTCGTGGTTTTCGGGAGGATCTGGGTCACGCCGGGATCCGGAGGAATGTTCACTATCAGCTCTTCAGCGCGGTCTGAGAACACGCACTGGCGGCCGAACATCTCCCGAGTCTTCGTATAAGCATAAGTAATCTCCATGCTAGCTAGGTAGCCGTGTTCACACCGAAAACAAGACGCCGAAGCAACGGGACAGAATAACTGGAGCCAAACTTTACTATGGAACCCGGCGTCTTGCTGTATCCTAGCAACGGCATAACATTTCCGGTATCATAGCAACGAACGAATGGCACGTAAAGCTCAACACTAAAAACGTAGACTGGTCTGGTTCATTTTGGACATACCTGGGGGGATTGTAACCCCTCACCTACTTCAGGATGACCAAATCTCACAACTTATGTGGGACAACGTGAACTTCCAATGTAATGAGAAAAAAAAACGTATATTCTGCCTTTCAGCCCTAATAAATTATTCTTTTTATCATCATATATTTCTTGTATATATTTTATTTGAATTCAACACATAGATAGGCCTACAATAATTAAAAAAAATGTAGGTTTAAGCAGGTTTTCAGAGTTTTCATTGAACGTTTTCCACAACAGAATGAAAAGTATCAGTAATATTTTTTAGATCTGTTTGTTTTTAATTATTTTTCCACTAAAATCAGCATATCGTAGAAAAAATATCCATACTTTTTGCAATTGTTTTGAGTAGTTGATTGTTTTCATAAATCAGAAACAAAACGTTTTTTTAAACATAACAACAAATCTCTTCTAGATTTTAGGTGAGAGAATAAACATGAACAAATTCAGATCTAATCTGATAATAGAGTTTCTTAGAGTTACTTTTTGTCTCAAATTTCTGAGAATAAGTGATCAAAGCTTCCATTTATTCTCATTATTTCTTCACTGTGCTTTAATGGGCTCAGCATTTACGCAGGTGTCTGAGACCGCAGCACCCGTCTGTGTTAGTCTCCATTGTGTTTATCATGGACCTGTCTAATTACTGGAAAACCTGCTTTTGACCTCTTCTTATCAGACTCCACACCAAGACATGAAAGAATGACTCAGAAACAACAAAGACTCTGTCTGGTATCTCTGAACACGTTTAATTCACGAGTTTACAGCATTTTCTCCTCCGTGCTCGCTCACGCTTGTTTTGATTTTCCGGGCACGCTCCACACACTCTCCGGATCTGCGATAAAGTCCCGCCACCATTTGATTGACAGCAATAGGCAGATTTCTCCAGTTTCTTTCATAAGATTGAAACTCAAACCGGAAACTGCGCTGCTCTGGGTGGCTGCATGTTGGAGTAGCTCTGTTAACTATATGTAAGTTTAGACTTTTTTTGGAAATTTTTTCTTCTAGTTTCTCAAGAAAAACTGTATTTTTTGGACATTTTACTTTTCTGTTTCTGGTGCTGTGAAGCTTGGAGGATTTTTACTCCTATTTTTTCACTTTTTGAGCATTTGTTATGATGCGTAACCATGGCAACAAGCTGGTTTACAGTCGGGAGCAGATGATTAACATTGGAAAGGCTGAAATAATACCTCAACTGAAGCCACAAATCCCAAATGAGCTAAAACGCAAGAAGCGTGGATGCAGAGCGGGAGCAAAATGGAGACAGAGAAAGAGGAAATTCAAACCTTCTCTTCCATCGATCATAATGGGCAATGTGAGATTACTGGCCAACAAGATGGATGAACTCTGGAACTGGAGAAAGAACAGTGATGCCGTTTACAAGAAGGGACACAGCAGACTGCACTTCTTGAGGACGCTTAGGTCCTTCAATGTCTGTAGCAAGATGCTGCAGATATTCTACAAGTCTGTTGTTGAGAGTGTAATCTCTTCAGCCATCGTCTGTTGGGGTAGTAGCATCAGAAGGGACCTGAAAAGGCTCAACAGCCTAATAAAAAAGGCTGGTTCTGTTCTGGAGACGACTGTGGAACCACTGGAAGAGATAATGCAAAGAAGGATTCTCCAGATAATCAAGAAAATGATGGACAACCCTGAGCATTCTCTTCACAAGACTGTCCGACAACGGAAGAGTGTCTTCAGTCAGAGGCTTCTTCGGTTTCAATTCAGTTCAATTCAAAAAGACTTTATTAATCCCAGAGGGAAATTGATTGCTGTAGTAGCTCAGAATAATAATAATAATCAATTCATCAAAGAGTTGTTGTACATTACAATGGCTGTTGGCAGGAAGGATCTCCAGTAGCGGTCAGTGTTGCAGCCAAACTGAAGAAGCCTCTGACTGAAGACACTCTTCCGTTGTCGGACAGTCCTGTGAAGAGAATGCTCAGGGTTGTCCATCATTTTCTTGATTCTCTGGAGAATCCTTCTTTGCATTATCGCCTCCAGCGGTTCCGAAACTGCCGAAACTCTGACTGAGTCCTTGAAAGGGTTTGGAGTTCCTCCATCTTGTTGGCCAGTGATCTCACATTGCCCATTATGATCAATGGACGAGATGGTTTGAATTTCCTCTTTCTCTGTCTGCGTTTTGTTCCCGCTCTGCATCCACGCTTCTTGCGTTTTAGCTCATTTGGGATTTGTGGCTTCAGTTGAGGTATTATTTCAGCCTTTCCAATGTTAATCAGCTGCTCCCGATTGTAAACCAGCTAGTTGCCATGGTTACGCATCATAACAAATGCTCAAAAGTGAAAAAATAGGAGTAAAAATCCTCCAAGCTTCACAGCACCAGAAACAGAAAAGTAAAATGTCCAAAAAATACAGTTTTTCTTGAGAAACTAGAAGAAAAAAATTCCAAAAAAAGGCAAAACTTACATATAGTTAACAGAGCTACTCCAACATGCAGCCACCCAGAGCAGCGCAGTTTCCGGTTTAAAAGTTATTTCTGGTCATTTGTGAGGTAAATACTTGGCTTTTGGTCCATTACATTGCTCATAACTCATCACAACCAGTGTGTGTGAATGGATGAATGACCGGTTGTGTTCACCCCCCTCAGAGATGTCATGAGTGTAAACTAGATCTATTAAACCTAAAACATGTTTTGGTACCAGGCTGTAAACATGTTTATTTCTGCTGTGAAATTGGTATTTTTAACATGGGAGTCAATGAGGATTTGCTCGCTTCTGACACCAGCCCCCAGTGGATGAGAGTGGAACTGCATTTTTTGTCACTTCTGTGTTGGCTTCAATTTCATACCAGTGTTATGGGGGCTTGTGAGAGAGTGTGTGGTTGCTTGCACCCCTGTGATGGACAGATGACCGCTAGAGCAAGGCACCAACTCCCGGAGACTCCACAGAAGTACAGAAAAACGAGTTCACGGTTGTGATTATCAACTGTACTGTATTAGAGCTGAACTTTTATTTTACTTCTAGCTAAATCAAGTGCTTTGCCTGATGTCACACAAGAATGAACATGTTCAGCCTCAAATCTGTAATAATCCAAAACTGCCCTTAATATATTCTGGTTGCCGTTAGCAATTTATGAATTAATACTTAGCATCTCGGAGATGGACACCTGGTGGCAATAACAAAATCAAACTACAGAGGGGAAAACATCTTTAGAGAGTTGGATGCATGAAATGTGTTCAAATATACATCTGCAACTCCATATACAACCATGGTAACAAGTCACGAACTCCTTTTAATTCACTGTCAGAAGGAAATGACTTTTCATCCTAAAATTATGTAGCAACTATTTTTTCTCTTGCTGTAAAATAGTTGGAGATGCATTTGTGTCATTTTCTAAGAAACAATTATCGATGTTTCTGTCGTAGCCGCAAAGAAAAAACTATTTTGTTTACTTAATCCTAATGGAGCACAGTCAAAAAAAAGACATCTCCTTGTCAGAATTAGGTCAGTTTCTTGAGTCATACATCTCACCCTTCATCCACTGAGCACAGAAAGTCATTTTCTTTTATTCTCAGAAGATTTTTGTAAACAAAGTGTGTCCATTATACCAAAGAAGCTAACAGAAGCTCCATTATTATTATTTTTTCATAAAGCTGCAGCTCGGCAGATTACTGCAACACTAAAAATAATCCATAAATTCATTTAATTTGACTTTGCAGAAATAAGGAAATAACGTTAATGTTAAATTATTTGGATAGTTGGAATATTTTTTTCTTTTTAATCCTCCTTGCTGACATGTTACAAAAATCTCCATATATCCCAATTGACGTGGTACAAAAATCATACAGAGCAGTCGGCTTTTGGCCAAAGACTCAACCCAGCATGCTTTAGAATAACAAACTCCATCTGTTTGATTTTTTAGGCCATAACTGCAGCTCATCAAAACCACTGGCAAGGCAACAGTTATCAGTCCAAACAGATTAAAGTAGCGCTAAACACTCTTTTACACTTTTTCTATCAGAGGCTAATACAGGAGATAGGTGTATTAGACTATTTTCATGTTCAGACTGAATAAAAAACTCAGAGTGACTGATTATAATCAGAAATAATCATTAAAAATTGTTTTTCCAGTGTTCAACGCCTTTAAAATGTCATTTGCAGTGTTATTAGTTACTACTGATACTATATGCTGATGTAGGCCCCTTCCACCATACTTGTATATTTGTTTATGCAATGTTTGGTCAGGTCTAATGCTCATTAGCAAAGAATAAAAAAAATGTATGCGCAAAAAAAAAAAGCACCCTTAAAGTCTTATTTATAGCAGACCCGGTCCAAAGGCAGGAAGCCTCCAGGGAGAAAAAACAAAGTCATAGATCAGCCTCAGGAGAAGTAATTAGGACAGATACTTATACCGGAATACTACAGCCTTGCTGAAACATTGAAACCACCTAAAGTTTATTAATTATGAGCTAATCTGGTGAACATGCTTGTTTCATGTCATCCTTCTTCTGTGCCATCTGAATTATTCAGGAACACGAAGGCATACAGAACAGATAACACGCTGCCTTACGTGTCATCAGCACTCTTGTTAAGAGATGATTAAAGGTTTGCTCCGCCTCCCCAGTTGTGCGTCAGCAGTCTGCTATTACAGCTGATACGGTTCTGGAAGACCCACCACCGTCAGTCACACCACAGTAGTCTTAACAAGGTCACTTTGAAGCTGCTCCGGAGCAAAGTCATTTAAAAAAATTTGGGGGGTGGGGGGGTTTAAGAAAAGGAAGATTAAATGGCATACGGCCACTCAGACACAATGACGTTCACAAGTTTGTGTCGGTAAGAAAAGCTGCACATTAATAGTGTTTGGCAAACAAGCACCATGCTTTTTTGCACAAGTCCAAGGTTACATCTGAAACTTGCAGTTTGCCTCTAATCCCTTCTCTGTTTTTCTATTTCAGTTTCTTGTCTTTCCTCCTCTTATCTATCTGCTCTCCCTCTTGCTCGCTCTCCGTTCCTCTTTTCCATTTCACTCTCCCTTTCTTTCCATCTCCTCTCTCCA